TATGTAGTTTTTTGCTGCTGAATGAGTTCCCTCTGAGCGGTAACTCCCTAAAAGAGTCTGAGAAGTCCGGGGCTATTCATAAAACATCCAGGACGCCACAGTTTATTCCACACTACTGAAGCTGCTCCTCTTTTTGGAACCACCGCGGAGTCGGTAATAATTTCACTTTTAGCCATGCTTGTTGTTCCTGTGGGTAACAGTATGACATCAATATCGAATGAGTTGAAATATTCTAAGTATCATGATATGAATTTTCCATATGATATTAAAAATTATACCAGCATTATCATAAACGAGATGACGTGGCACACCCCTAGCTACAACTCATACAGTCTGTGGTTTGGTGAAGTCGAGCATGGTGTGTTTGATGGAGTTGGCAGTTCAGTGTGTCGAGATGCCACCAAAACGTTTGAAAGTTTGCTGGTGGCGTTTTACGCAACTGAGTGCTTCCATGCACATCATGGGTATGGAATGAAGTAGGAAAAAAAAGGTATCAGATAAAGAACTCTACTGGTGTCAGTATTGCTTTAAGGGCAGTGGTATTTTTTTACTGGTATTATAATTTTTTAAATGATACGAGACTAACCTAAGAGTTTTAATTGATATCTGTTTCCTATAAAGTTTTAAATAATAATGGCATCATGACTTTTTAAAATTTGGTTTGTCTGTTTGTATTTCCTGAGGTATTTTTCATTTCACCTCTTTGATACCTCTGTCACATGTATAGGGAGGTAACCAGTGGCTGTATAAACACAGGAAGCACTGCACCTCAGGAGACAATGCATGCAGTAGCACACACACACACAGGAACATTTAATTCAAATGCCACCAGCAAGCATACGTGCACATTGACCTACTTTGATAGCTTCATGTTACAGCGGTAACCTGCTGAGGCTGACACAGGTTTTACATCATTTGCATTCTGCAGTGACTGTGGCATTTATAAGTCACTTGAACAGTACACGTGTAATAAAAGTGAAGACATTGCTATATTTTAATACATTCTTTGTATGCTCCTGTGATGATATGATTCAAAAGCCTGCGACATGAAGTATCTGTGCATTTGGTGTTTTGAAGTTACATCATACTTGATTTATTTTTACTTTTCGAGGGCCCCATCTCCCTGTCCCCTCCAGCAATTATGCCTCATACCCTTATTGCGAATGTCTACAGTATTAAGTATAATTTGAAACACTTGTGTCATCAGCAACCCTTGATGGGGAAACAAGAGTGATAACTGGTGCCCACTTGTGCTTCCACGAATATCCAAGTATGCAGACGTACTCTCTTTTTATGCTGAGTTATTATTGTGAGGGTGCTAACTGAACACTTGATCACAGAAACAGATCAGACCTTAATTATCAAGGTAAAGCTGCAACACTACAATGCATAAACACCTCCTAAATATAGCCGGAGGTTAGTCAGTGTTTCAGACTAGTTAAAGATATGCCTTATTAAGCCTGTTTCCAAAATATTTTTGGACGTGGCTTGTCAAAACCAAATAATGTGCTCCTAACCTTTGCTTATGCAGTGACAGCACCCTGCTTTGGTGGATCCGATAATGAGGCAGAATATCCATTTCATCCCAGCTTCCCTCTGCTCTAAGGGGCTCATCCCAATCATCCCTAATGTCCTCTGCACTGTAGTCATCCACTGTGTGTGTCAGCTCTACAGCGTGATCACAGTTCTTCCAAGACTACAAAGTAAACTATCGTGAGTGGAGGGACGGATCACTGCAGACTTCTCTTATCTCCCCTCTCAAGCAAGCCAATTAATCTTGCTTAATTAAAACATGACGAAGCCCTATTTATTATGAGGAGAATGTTGATTTCTCATCGTCTTGCCAAACACGAGTTTTAAATCTCGATGACAGATCTTCTCCATATCGCTACGGGTAAGCCAATTAAGCAGGAAGTGCGAGCCCGACGAAATTGCCTGTTAAAACTTTGGATCAATGCAATCGAATTTGGGAGCGTGCTAGTCCGCCGTTAAGTGAAAGAAGGTCCATTTTTGCTGCAGTTTATTAGCTGTGGCTCATTCCCCCTTCTATAAAAGGCTTGGTAAGAACTTCCCAGAACAAGTATGTAATGAAGTGCATTTTTTTTGTTGTGGGCTAAGACTGTTTTCGATGGGGTCTTTGTTGTTTGTTCGATGAATTAATGAGCAGCCGTCGAACCCCCGAGGTGTTCTACTTTGCATAGCCTTTGACAGAGCTGCTGGCTCATAGTCTGGCTCGGCTCCTCGCGTAGCCCTCTTCATCGTTTTCCCAGGAAACTAATTTTTTGGTCGCACCCTGTCAGGCTTAATTATATTTAAGCCCCTCAGTGTTTTTGTTTTGTTTTTAAGTATTGACATTTTTTAATTGATTTTAGATAAAGCCGCCTCTAGCCAAAACTGTTTTTTCCTTATTCTGGTTTCTCTTCTGTACATTAGAATGTCTTTGTTAGTTTAGATTATCATTTCGTCTGGAGCGGTGTTTAAATCAGGCTGCTGTCTAGAAATATCACCGACACACGCTAGCAAACGTGATGCAACCCCACACGCTACAGCTGTGCAGTCTTTGGTCAGTCGCATCACCCACTGTCATTAAAACGAGTTAGAGACAGACAGTTGAGTCGCTGAAGTGTTCTGGGGCATCCAATGACAAAAATAGTCTCACTTCATCACAAGCAACTGTCTGTGGTTTATGTGAAGCTTTTTTTAGTGGCAGAAAGACATGTGATCAAAACCTGATGGATGTAGCGTGTAAACAAGCTCACGCCCTGCCTCTGACCCGGAGCGATCACAGAGAGCTTCTCATCCTTTTACTTTAACATCGTTCCTTCATGAATTTTAGAAGGTACTCTGATCTGGGAGCACTATCTTTGGCAGCGGCTTACAGCATGATTTACTGTACCTTTTATCAGCAAGCTTGTTTTAGAATCACTCTGTTTATAAGCTGAGGTGAAGGCACAATTTGATTACACACACGTTTACTGCACGGGAATCTAATGGGTGCTTTGCAAAGGAGGTTTGGATCCTCACAGTGCGCTCAGTTAATAAACCAAATAGAAGCTTCAGCTAATTTTACACCTCAAAGAAGATGTAGTTAAAATTTATGTTGTTTTTAGTTTAGTCTTGACAGCTGAGATAAAGACAAAATGTGTAATTGAGCTTTTCATGTGTCATAAACTGAAGTTTATCTTAATTCATTCCTTTAATAATCTGAACCTTTTTATTCTTTTTGAATGTACACAGAATGTACTTTCTTCTCTCCGCACTGAACACATCAAAGAAGCTTAACAACTTACAAACTCATTCATGTAGAGTATATTGGCTTGTTCAGACAGATGTGTGTAGCAGCAGCAGGAGTGATACTCCTCGCGGCAGAGATTAAACAGTAATAAGGTGATTGCTTTGGCAGCCCCGGCGACTAAGGGAAATGTTGGGGCCCAGAGAGAACAGAAACCAGCCAGGGGTCAGAGTTGAGCTGGAAACGAGTTCCTCAGAGCTGAGTAGGCAAAATGCTCTGGTGCAAGCACTGCATACACTCACATATACACAGCATCAGGATGCTGAGCCGAGAAGCATCACTGTTTCCATACTACCTGTATCACAAATGAAAAAGGTGTTTTCATTCATGTCCAAGTCTTAAATGGTCAGAATGTCAACATAGTATTGTTTCAAGGATCTTAGAAGATAAAAAATAAAAAATATCTGCCCCCAACTAAGAATTTTCCTAGTCAACCAATAGTCGTCATTTAGGGCCATTAGGTGTGAGAAAGAGTAGTATCAGTAACATTGTTAACACTGTAAAAACCGTACTAATGAACCTTCATTAATATAGGTCTATATTTTATCTACAAATTCACGTCACACACTGAGCGAGCCGCCTGTTAATGACGCTGTCGGCAAAGCAGTAATGATTGTGCTAAGTGGCTAACGGGCATGTAGCTACTTCCATGTTTCAGATGATACATCATGTTTGTAGTCGACCAATGAAGAGGAGTTTACATATCACCTTGGGTTCGTCCTTCACCTTCTCAAAATGATCCCACACTTTGGATTTCCTGCCCGACATGTTATTAACTAGCCTGTGGAATAACCGCAGGTACCAGCCCTGGAAATTGTGACTCCTGTCTGACTGCTGAGCGTGGCCACTACCTGTGTCTTTCCTTTCAAATTAAATTCCCACATGGTCCAGTCATATACTGTAGGTTTGGATATATTTTGACAAGGTGCAGCTCCTAATAGAGTTTCACGTTGTTGTTTTTTTTCCTGTAACTAAGCGACCAATAAAATCTTGCCAACTAATGATTTTTCTGGTTGACCAACCTGTAGTCATGGCAGCTAGTGATGGCAACAGAAAACAAATGCGCACAGGAAAACGTGTAAGGCAAAGCCGAATTTTATGTTGGACTAGAATGTATTTATTCATATTACTTAATTAGTTACTTTGTTATCAATTAATCTGCAGACTATTTTCTAGTTTGAGTAGTCATTTTGTCTGTAAAATGTCAGAAAAAAGCACCCATTATAATTTCCTTGAGTCCAAGTCAACATCTTGGAATGTTTTGTTTTGCCCTGCTTACAGTGAAATCCATAAAAGAGTAAGTTTACTGTCATATCTGGCAAAAGAAAGCATAAATCCTCGTACAAATATTTGCCTCGAGAAAGGACTAAAATGATTATTTGGTTTTCAAAATAGTTGCAGAATAATTTTCTATCAATTGAAAATGATTAATTGTTGACTAACCATTGCTGCCTTATTTTTGGAGGTCATTAGAAAATATTTAGAATAAAAGTAAGATATTGTTAGGAAAAATAAATCAGGATAAAAAGTAACAGCATTTAGTGTATGACTGCAAGACAAATTGCTGTTATCATAAGAATATAATGTATGAAACACTTTGTTGCTTTTGTCGTGCTTCAGTTGTTTGATGTGTCATCCAGGAGTTAAATACTACAAAAGATGATTGATCTTGTTCTTTCCCCTCTTTCTTATTTCCTCTGCTCTGCAGGGCAGCAGCTAGTGAAATTGGACAACCAGTTCAAAGTGATGTGTGTGGTTCTGCATCCCAGCAACCCAGAGGTATTCCTGTGTGGAGGTTACAGCTCAGTGGTCAAGGCCTGGGACTCTCGCAGCTGCAAGGTCAAACTCATTAACCACTCTACAGTAGATTTGTCATTTTTATTGACTCTGGTTCACAGACTGTTGTTTGATCTTATAAATCAAAGGCAGGTACGCTCCCCACCCCCTCCTGCACACTCGCAGTGAAACACTAGTACAACAATAACCCAAGCTTTATTTCACTAAGAGGATAATGTTGCTGCATGCATAGAGGTAACACTGCAGGTTATCGTGCTAATTGTTGAAAGCAAATTTTAATTTCATCTGGGACTCATGAATTGTTCCCGTGAAGCTACAACCTCGTATTGCTATTAAGCTTAATGGACTGTTTTATATGATAATCCTATTCACCTCCTTCAAATCTGAATGCTCACATGTCATTTTTCCCCACGGCTAACTGAATCATTTCCCTGCAGGGTTTTAGATTTAATACAGCGGGGATTGTCTCTGCCAGTAGGTGTCAATGTGAGTTGCAGAGTGAGTGTAGAACAGTCCTCAGCAAATAGGTTGTTAATGCCGTAGCTTCCTGGCTTCCTGTCTGTCTTAGCTCTGGGCTGTGTTCATCTTGCTTTGGGGTGAAATCACCACATTAGATGAAAGGGCCAAGACCCGCAGGCACAACATTAAACCATTAGTGTGACGTCTCTCTAAAACAGACTCATTAGGTTGAACTGGATGCATGAGATTGCTCTACCATGTTATGTTAAAACTCGTTGATAAGAGCAGGAGTTTAAAGTTTGGTTCAAGTTACGAAGCAGAAGGAAGAAGCAGCTGAAGTTGCAGTTAGAGGTCAAGGGTTAAATTGTCTCAGTGTGGAGTGGAGCTGCTAGCTGTTCGCTTGGTGGCTCTGAAATTAAAGATAATCACATAAGACACCCTGTGAAAATCTTATTTGATAAAACGGGGCCAGTAAAGGAAGGTATTTAACCCAGGGGTTAAATTGGCCAGAGCTCACCAGAGCTGAGCTCCACCTCCTTCAGTATCACAGCGTTTCCAGCTCTCACAGTTTCGGAATAAAAGAATGACTGTCCAGGTTATTTAATGTAGAAATCCATGGTATACATTGGCAGTCTGAAAAGCATCCGATGTGAGTAAAGTCGTGTCTTCATCAGGGTATATAAACACATACACCCTGATGAAACGCCTAGGTCATCCACGTATTAATAAAGGATTTTTACTCACAATCGGAGTGCCTTGGATGCTTTTCAGACTACCAGTGTATACCATGGACTTCGCATGTTGAACAGTCATTTTCTTTTGTTCCTATGTGACTACTTGACTACACCTGATTTTTTTACCGTCGGCCTATGCAGACACTTTCAGCTGCTGTTCTTCTTCTTAGAGTCAGCTGCTAACTGCTAACAGCTGCTTTTCAAATCTCCCTGTGGTGGCTCACATATGACAGCCGTCCCGATCATGGTCCCTTCCTGTCCTGTTTACACAGTTGTCATTTTGGCGCTGTTACTGCCTCTGCTGCAGGCTTAAAGGCGAGACAACTCTGTCCTCCATTCCGTGATCGTACCTTTTATAAAGAACAGCAAGGCGACACAACACTGTGAAATACCTGCCTCGAACAGGCAGTGTAAAACAGGCTTTTTACTTTATTAAGTAGCTGTAGCCATCACACAGCAGTAAGATCAATATGTGTCTCCAAACTGAAAGAGGGGCTGTGCATAATTCACACGTGGCACAGCAGCAGTACTTTAAGTTTATAATTTCCCACTGCAGATGGATGTGACAACACTCTATGCCAGTTACTTAGTTTGTGTGGCTGCTTTCTTTGCAGGCACTGGAAGTGGGCGTGGCAGAGAGTCATCAGCAAAATGGCACCACTTGGGCCCTGTTAGCTAGTGCTCTTTTAAAAACCCTCTTGGAACTGAGTTGCGAGCCCTTTCCTACATGAGACACCTATTAAGTTTGTGGTTGATGTTTCTGCTTGTGTTGGTGTGCCATACCACATTGCACTTAAACACTTTTCCACTCATGCACCCACCTACACTGCTGAACTTACTGATTACACATGCCACTGTTACAGTAGTTTAACTTTTCTTCTTCCTTTTCTTGTGTTATTTTTTTATTAATATAAAGATTAGCAACAAGAAAGGTTAAGCTAATTAAAGAGTAGCATCATAGGAAAACTTTAACAGTGGCATTTGTAATCAGTAAGTTCAGCAATGTAGGTGGGTGCATGAGTGGGAAAGTGTGTAAGTGCAATGTGTGATGCAGCAGATGACGACTACACAAAAGTAAAGTGTTTACAGTAAGTTTATTAAAGTTTAACTTAAACTAGCGGCCACATTAACATTGGATTTGGATGATTTTTTTGTTATCAAATACAGATAAATAGAATACATACATATATAAGATGTTATTATGACACTGCCTTACTCTGATAGCAGCTTCCCTTACTGTGTTAATACCATAGAAGTAGAATAAAATCAGAATGAACATTAGGATGAAGGTAGCAGGTCAGAATGACAGACATTTTTATGCGTAGCGAGCTAACTTCGTATAAACTCCCATATAATAAGAAACCAACTTGCAGTTAATAGCTAACTTACTGAGACAAGGTTTTGCAGTAATGACCAAACGAACCGTGGAGTTGCACAAAGCATAAAGTGATGTCTTTCGTACAATATCTCCATTGCCTTGATGCTTGAGAGGAATTTAGGAATGCTGGATTTAATTACTTCACATTTTTGTTGGTAGGTCATCGAATTCTGGTAATACTATGTCAAACTAGTGAGTGTGACACACTGATGTGTCTTGTCACCATAACAACTAACAACAATTGCCATTTTCTTTTATGCTAGTCAAGTGACTACAGCAAACAGTTCAGTATCTGTTCTAGTTTCAATCTATTTCTGTGGTTAGTACTAAAGCAGCAGAGCAGCATTAGCAGAAACACTGTGATCAACTGTCACAAATACTTTGGTATGAGATCACAAAGTGAGGAAAAGGAGGGACTGAGTATTTAAAAGCAGAGATCACTGACACATTGCACTGCTGTTATCATTTTGTCTTCCCACCTTAAAAATAATCTTTGCAACCTTAAGTGTCATATTTGCTGAAACTGTCACTATATTCTGAAAAAGTATATGAGACAGACTGTCAAAAAAAACATGTCCCTCCTCCCCTCTGACTGCCTCTAACGGCATTTGCTACAATCAGACCATGCAGCAATGATCAGTCAGAGCAGAGAAGTCTCTATCCCAGCTGTCAATCATGTCAATGGCTCAGTGAATTGCAGTCAAACTAGGCAGTACTGATCAAATATGAATCAAGATTCTGTCAATGCATCGCCTATTTCTCGCCTCAGATGTTTTCAAAACATATTTTAGTGTACTGTTTAGCTGTAAAATGAGAAAGTTGGTCCGGCTCGTGGGTGGTGCTTGGTACTTTGGTCCACTGATTTCAACATAGCGGCTGGGTCGCCAACTTTCTTATTTTACAGCTAAACAGTACACTAAAATATTTTTATGAAAACATTTGAGGCAAGAAATGGGCAATGCAGTAACAGAATCTCTGATTGGTTGTTGGTCTATCGATCATGTGCAGTTAGGCCATTAGAAATGCTACAAGGCAGTAGAGTAAGCAGAGGAGTATGATTTTTTTCTGTCTCATTTAGTGCTGTGTGGATATACAGGTGCTGGTCATATAATTAGAATATCATCAAAAAGTTGATTTATTTCAGCAATTCCATTCAAAAAGTGAAACTTGTATATTATATTCATTCATTACACACAGACTGATATATTTCAAATGTTTTTTTCTTTTAATTTTGATGATTATAACCGACAACTAATGAAAATCCCAAATTCAGTATCTCAGAAAATTAGAATATTACTGAAGACCAATACAAAAAAAGGATTTTTAGAAATGTTGGCCAACTGAAAAGTATGAACATGAAAAGTATGAGCATGTACAGCACTCAATACTTAGTTGGGGCTCCTTTTGCCTGAATTACTGCAGCAATGCGGCGTGGCATGGAGNCTTCTCAATATCCTAATTTATTATTACTTATTCTACTCTCTCAATTATTTTTAACATATGATGAACATATTGTACACATTTCTTATTCTTATTTTTCTATCTATATATAAATAGTAGAGCCTGACTGGTTTACAGGTTTTATCTGCCGATATGAACCTATCACGAATATATCATTATTAGCATATGTCCTCAGATATACGCTGATAATTCAGGTTATTCTGATAGAATTTGTTCAGCAGAGCACGGTCTAATTTCACTGTTATGGCTTTGTTGGTTCTGCTAACGGTTACCGCAGTTGAAGTACAGCTGGATTCATAAAAATGTAACAGTGACTTTACTAATGTTTGAAACTATAAACCAGCACAAAAATGATGATTACCAACATAAGCCACCACGAATATATCATTATCGGCCAATATATCAATATCAGAATTTTTTTTATTCCCTAATATCGAAATTGGCATAAGCCTTAAAAGTGGCGATCACACGCATGTTTTTTGGGACTGCCCAGTAATTTAAGGGTTCTGGGGAAGCATTAAAAAAAATAGACAAAATTATGGAGGTAGATGTCACATGATCAGACCCATTATTATTTTTAGGACGGGTTGTTGTAATAGATTGTATATAATGGAATTGTGTTCCTCTGTAACTGGATAAATGCAACCCCCCTTTGTAATTCTTAGTTTCATGTTAATTAAATTAAATGAAATTATTATTATTTTCATTATTATATAGTTAAGAATATTGTTTACCTCTTATGGTTTTGCTTTGCTTTATTATAGGTCCTATGTCAGGGAATGTTGTGTTATCTGAAAAAAATGAACACTAAATAAAACTTCTTAATAAATTTGTGTTTTTCCCCAAAATATTAAACTATTCCTTTAAATCAGTGTTGGACATGGAAACTATCTGACTGTGAAAAAGTCCCTCGCCTCACTTGGTCTCAGGATGGGCATTTTTTCAAGTATATACTGAATATCACAATAAAATAAATCATAAAACAACTGAGTAATAAATCATTCTCTTGTGAAGGGAACTCTTTGCTTTGCTACAGAAGTTCAACAGAAATACAGTACATAAAGTAGCTGCCTGAGGCTTATAGTGGGGGAAAAAACTGTGCTCTGAAAGAGAAGAAGGTTTTTGGGAAAAGTCTCATTCAGGCCAGACCCATAAACCTCCATTTCAAGTCACCATATGTCTTCTCATACAGTAGGCTGGCTGGCTATAAAAACACATCTATCACGTTGGAAACCAGGAGCAGAGCATATCATGAGGGGAATCAATCTTTCCCTAAAGACCTCCCTGCTCAGAATTACCTCTATATAAAGCAGTGTCAGCACACACAGGGAGAGGAAGAGCAGGGGAGGGCTGGGAGTGAATATGTGATTCTATTCTCCTGTCTGAAGTCCTGACTGTGGAGAACTCTACCTGTATATATTTTTTTAGTAAGTTACCAGCTGTAAAAGCGTAAGTCCGGATGTTTCCCTCCGTCAAGTAAATTGCTCTCCTGAGATGAGTGCCATGATCATTATTGTGTATTCAAACTAGAAGAGCTATAAAAGCATCATGGGATGGCTTCAACACTGATTCTAACTAAATTAACTATTATTAAATTTGGTATTAATAACTACTTGCGATTTTTCACATAGTAACACCTCCCGTTATGTTGAAGATTAAAGAGAATTTCTTTGTGTTTTTACCATGAATTTTAAAGGGCTTGATGCTAATCTGTGTGTGCGTTTGTGGCGGGGTGCTTGTGTGTGTGTGTGTGTGCATGATTCCAGGTGGTGAAAGCGTACAAAGCAGGGATCCAGCAGACCTTGGACATCCTGTTTCTGAGAGGTGGTGTGGACTTCATAACAAGCTCAGACTGCGTGAGCAGAGACTCTGCAGACCGCACCCTCATCGCCTGGGACTACCAGACCACAGCCAAGGTCTCCAACCAGATTTACCAGGTTAGAAAAGCAGTGTGTGAATGAGGAAACCTCACCCCTGAATGAATATAGTTCTAACTTCCCTATGGTGTTAAAATTATTGGCTAAAAGTCTTAAAAGCAGCTTCAATTCAGAAAAGGAAATTATATTTCTCATTAAAATACATTCCTGAAAATGTGTTAACTCCCTGATGTGAAACTAGTTGTAATTAGGTATGTTAAACTGGCATATTTTGACAGTGCTGAAGGAAGTGCCGCTCGACTGAATGCCGCCTATTCTAAAAATGTGTTTTTAATAACCTCTGTGCTGTGTGTGTCCTTGAGTCAGTGTTTCTGCAGTTGAATCGAGTTTATTTTACAAAGCAGGAAGTCTTTGAAGTCTTGTAAATTCTTCATACTATTAATATGTAGGATGGACAAAATAACAGGTACAGTGTAGAATATAATACACAAACTGGCCTCAGAAACAAACATAGTAGATTGATTGCTTTATGAATGAAGCTTTTCTGTTACTTGTCCACCTGCTGCACATCTAAATGACACTCTAGTTCACATGCAGCTGACTTCATGGTTAGCAACAGCAAGAAAATGTCAAATGATGAATTAATTTCCCCTACGGATTTTGTCCCTCCACTCATTTGGCCACCAGGAGCGGTACACGTGCCCCAGCCTGGCTCTCCACCCACTGGAGGAGTCCTTTGTTGCCCAGACTAATGGGGACTACATTGCAGTGTTCTCCTCCCAGCAGCCCTATAGAATGAACAAGAGGCGGCGATACGAAGGACACAAGGTCAGTAACGACTGTGGCCCTAGGTGGGGGGGGGGGGGGGGGGGGGGAACGAAATTACAGTCACACAAACAACTTCAGCAACCTCCCACATGCACCCAAAGCAAAAAGGCATCAGAATAAACCTATGCACACACATGGAGATGCTCATCATAACCTGCACAACACATAGTTGACATGTACCACAGATCCATAGCATGCTTTCCTCCACAGCACCCTCCCCCAAAACAAACACACTAAGCACAATACAATATTTCCAGTGAGGGAGGCAAACAGAGCAGAATATGGCTGGCAAATATTACTGAAAGCATGTCGAGCTGCCACCGTGGTGTCTGTTTGTTGAACCAAGAAAAATCCAGAGATGGACAGGAAACAAATTGGTATCTCACATTCCAGTGCTGTTTTTTTTTCCTCCTTTGTTGATGGCCCTGAGTTGCAAAACACAACATTTTAGATCAACAAAACATAAAATGCAACATTGCAGAAAACACAAGGACATTTCATCTCTGAACTTTTTTCATGTTTTCTGTATTATATACCACTTTGAAGCCAACACTTCTAACAGAGTAAATGTCCCAGCAACAAATGAGTGTATCACACAACCTTTATTGTGATTATAAATACTTAATTGCAGCCTTTGTTGATCAAAAAACAAAGGATAGGTTCAGAGAATCCTCATGTTTCCATGTGTATATCAACAGAGTTATTGGTCACTGTAAACATTCCTCCTGAGTCCTGTCCATACTGATCTTTAACAGATTAAATAAGTTTCTTGTGTAATGTAACGTAAGAGATAAGGGACAAAATACACCTATCAGCCAAAACATTAAAACCCCAGGTAGGTGAAGTGAATAACATCAATCATCTCCTTACAGTATAATGTTCTGCTGGGAAACATGGGCTCTGGCATCATGTGGAAGTCACTTGACGCACTCCACCCACCAAAACACCATTACTGACTGAGTACACCCTCTCATGGCAGCGGCACTCTTTGATGGCTGTGAGCCAACCCCCCCAGCAGGACCTTGAACTAGCCACACTGCAAAAACTGCTCAAGAATGGCCCGAGGAATGAGACAAAGAGCTTAAGGCATCGACCTGGCCTCAAAAGTCCCCAGATCACAATCGTCGGAGCATCTGCAGGACATGCTGGCACCCCAGAGGTACCTTGATACTTGGCTCTGACCTGTCAAGGCATGGACCTCTGAGGGTGTCCTGTGGTGTCTGGCACCAGAATGTAAACAGTGGATCCTTTGAGTCCTGTGGGTTGTGAGAGGGGTACCAGCATGTCCCACAGATGTTCAATCAGACTGGGATCTGGGGAATTCTGAGTCCAGGTCAACGCCTTGAGCCCTTTGTCTTGTTCCTCGGGCCATTCCTGAGCATTGTTTGCAGTGTAGAACAGTGCATTATCCTGCTGGTGAGGCCACTGCCACATGGAGAGTCCCACTGCCATGAGGAAAGTGTGCTTGGTCTGACACAGTGTTTGAGTGGATGGAGTTCGTCAAGTGGCATCTACATGAATTGCCAGGACCCAAAGTTTCCACGCAGAGTGGTGCATTTTAATGAGGTAATTGATGTTACTCACTTGGATGCATGTAGCTTCAGCATTCTGGGTTAGACACACCCAGTGGTTATCTATCAAGCTTCAAGTAAAGTCTCTGTTTAACCTTCCCTATTTTACACACATACAGTAAACACTACTATAAAGTACTACCAATTATTTTTTTGCATTTTGTTATCTTGAGATCACTAGTTAATTATTTCATCATCTCAAGAAAACAAGCTGTGTTATCTCGAGATAATCAACCTGTTATCAAGAGAAAACAAAAGGTTGTTTGCCCTTATTAATGTTTATCAGAGGTCAGGTGCACCCTGCAGGCATGCATACATGACAACTTGACAACTACAGCAACTGATTTAGGCCGAAAATGTCAGATACAAGGAACATCCACTATTGATCAACCTGTCAGACTGTACTTCAATCAAGGTTTAACACAGGCAGAGTAATGAATCAGTCATGAATCCTCCCCAACAGTCATGACAGTGATCACGAAGGCTGAAATTAGGCTTGATCAAAAGAAGCAGACTTTGTTTAGGTTCTCCATAATGACCCTGTGATATTGATAGTGACAGTTGATCTCATTATCTGGAGAATTTGCCTTTTGTTTTCTGAAGAATCAACGTAAATTAACCAGATATCATGAGAAAATGAGCTTTGTTATCTCGAGAAATAATTGATATGGAATAACTGAATGAGTATATCGTTTATATAGACTTGAAAATATCCTTTAATCTCATGCTTAGTGTCATTTTGTGTCATCCTGCTCTTCCACGCTTGTCAGTTTTGGCTGCAAGCAACAGGCATGGGAAGCCATTTGGATTATAATACAGTTGATGTTTAAATGCAGTAAAGGAGATTGTATTTATTTCTATACAAAGATTGCTCAATAGTGGGGCAGACTATTTAGGATTTAATTTGCCAATTTTACCTTAGTTATGTTACTTTCTTTTGCGCTATGAATATATATTGGTTTGTTAAATGGTATATTTTTTTCTGGAAATTCAATTGAAAAACAGTTCATAGAGCAAATGATCAGATCTATGGACGTTTCCTTTTATAATACCTTACAGGATTTTAAAAGAAATTCTTATAATAATATTGGTGTAAATGGGCTTCCATACAGTTCAGAATGTCTGTTAACCCAGTGAATTAAATTAAACTATCACCTTGCATACATTCAGGGTCATTAAAGTCTGTAATCAGCTGCATCACACTCTGGTTATTACGCTGACGTGAAAAAGGCTCTTGGTGGGAGGTTTATGCATCGTAACTAACATATAGCCTCATGTCCTAGGTGGAGGGATACGCGGTGCACTGTGAGTTTTCTCCAGATGGAACTATCTTGGCATCGGGAAGCTCCACCGGCTCTGCTCACTTCTACGATTTCCACAACGCTCGTATGCTGCACACTCTCCACGCTCACAGCCAGCCCTGCCTGTGTGTTTCTCAGCATCCCGTCCTGCCTGCGACCGCAGCCACCTGCGACTGGGCCGGTGAGATCAAGGTCTGGCACTAAAGATTCTGAATGAAGAAGTTTTTAAAAGGGGGGGGGGGGCAAGAGAAGACTGTATTAAACTGAAAGCTCTTGCACATCCATCTTCAAGACTTTATCTCCCATAATCTCTTGGTATAAGATGATAAGAACTTGGCAAAGAAATGCTGGAAGTCAGCAAGTCTACTATCAACTGACGCCTTTGAAAAACATTTTCCTACACTGTGTATCCTGCAAAGCTTTCTCGTTATTTTAACAACCACCCACATCTTCATTCCCGTTCATATGAACTTGCACTGGCACAAGAACAACAGACTCTATTGTGTAAATCCTACTATAAGCATGTTTTTCATATTTGGCCCGTCTCATATTGTTGTAACATCCTGAAAACAGCGAGAGATACACAGCGGAGATAAAAGGAAGTTTCTCTACAGTTCAAAGAGTGAAGTATTATGAGTTTTATCTTCAGTGGAAGGTGGTGGGAAAGCAGTCTGGATGCGCACACAAACACAAACACAACCTTAATGCTTATATGCTCAGCTTTCCACTCCAAAAACAGCGAGGGACTTCATCACCATGTTCTTGAAGTTTTTGTCAAAACAAAAAGCAAAAAAAAAAAAAAAATCTCTTTGGGCATTTTCTAATCAATAGTGTTTTTCATTTCACATTCTGCATACACATCACTTTTCCTCTATGCTTTTTTGTTCTCACTGCTCTGATATGACATTTTATTTTCACACTGACAGCTTAAAGCATCACAGAGAGACAACCAGAGAACTAAAGAAAATACGCAGACATCTGTCAAAACATTGCCAGGTTCTTCCAAAATCCTGCCAGTCAACAACAGAGCAGTGAAGTGCAGACAGATGCTTGTGATCTTTATTCAGTATCTAGCAGAACAGTCCTTAAAATACACTTTGCTGTTTGGTGCCGAGGGAAATTCTAATGGCTCAGTACTTTTTGTAGCCCCTGTGGTTGTTTATACTGCAGTTAATTATACTTCAGCTGACATTGTTGTTGTCTTAAAGGACCAATAAGCAATTTGTGAAGCCGAATAATAATTGGTATGTGCAAAGTGGCGAAAACTACTGCTGTTTTTGAGTAATCCCTGTGTGTTTTTGCAGGCTAGCAGCAGCTATAGAATATCATTAATGTTAAAACAGTTAGACAGGGTGAAACAATACGACCTCAAAAGGGTGGAAAAGACCAAATAAAGTTTAAGAAAACCTTGGTGAACACTGGAGGGCCTTTTCAGGAAGACGTTGTTGGAGATGGTGTTGTCTCTTTGATGTTCAATGGGTAAGTAACCAAACTTTTAACTGTTATGGTAATGGGTGTCTGCTCAGTATATAAACTGTCACGTTGGGTGTTTAAGGCCTTGTCCACATGAACAAGGGTATATTTGTAATGGTAGCTTTTTTTGTGTTTTGGCCTTTTGTCCACATGCAAACTGTGTTGGTCATTTGGTAACACTCTTTTCAGGGTGAAGATGTGTAGAAACTCAATTTTCAATGTTGATATGTAGACAGGGAAAACAGTTTTTGGCTTGTAACGTCAGTGTGCACCGTTGTTTCTTCTTCGCACTACGGAGGTCACTGCTCCAGGTAACCTGCTGGACTGCCAACAGGTTTTTTTTCCCGGGCTTCTGAGTGGCCAACAACATCATCATCTTCTTCTTTGCATGACTTTAGTGTTGTATGGCCACCTGTTGCTTTGGCATGCTCTTGGCAGCGCTTTCATTGTCCCTCCATCCATTTTCAACCACTTAGCCAAAGCCAGGTCGCAGGACCAGCAGACTGACCTAAGTATTACAGACGTCCCTCTTCCCAGCTACACTGTCCAGCTCCTCCTGGGCGACCCCGAGACGTTCCCAGGCCAGATGAGATATGTAATTCCTCCAGCGTGTTCTGGGTCTTCCCCAGGGCCTCCTACCAGTTGGACGAGCCTGGAACACCTTTAACGGGAGGCACTGAACCACCTCACCTGACCCCTTTTTAACGTGAAGGAGCAGCGGCTCCCTCCGGATGTCCAAGCTCCTTACCCTATCTCTAAGGCTGAGCCCAGCCACCTTTCAGAGGAATCTCATTTTCGGCTACTTGTATCCGCAACCTCATTCTTTTGGTCACTACCCAGAGCTCATGACCATAGGTGAGGGTTGGGACGTAGATGGACCAGTAAATCGAAAGCTTTGCCTTTCCGCTCAACTCCCTCTTCACCACGACGGCCCGACACAGCACCAGCATTACTGCAGACACTGCGCCAATCCATCTCACGCTCCATTCTACCCTCACTTGTGAACAAGACCTCAAGATACTTGAACTCCCTCGCTTGGGGGAGTAACTCACCCCCAACCTGCTTTAATTGTGTTGTTGCATTTTTGTTTGGATGGAGATTTTTTTTTACATACATATATATATATATATATATATACATATATATATATATATACAGTCAGGTCCATAATTATTTGGACAATGATACAGTTGTCATCATTTTGGCTCTGTACACCACCACAATGGGTTTTAAATGAAACAATGAATACCTGCTTAAAGTGCAGACTCTCAGCTTTCATTTAAGGCTTTTTTCAAAAATGTAGTATGAACCGTGTAGGAATTACAACCATTTCTTCACACAGTCCCCCAACTTTAAGGGCTCATAAGTATTTGGACAAACTAACATAATCATCAATTAAACAGTCAGTTTTAATACTTGGCTGCAAATCCTTTACAGTCAATGACTGCCTGAAGTGTTGGACACATAGGCATCATCAGATGCTGGGTTTCTTCCCTGGTGATGCTCTGCCAGCCCTTTACTGCAGCCGTCTGCACTTCCTGCTTGTGTTTTGGGTGTTTTGCCCTCAGTTTTGGCTTCAGCAAGAGAAACGCATGCTCAATTGGATTCAGGTCAGATGATATGACTTGGCCATTGCAGAACATTCCACTTCTTTGCCTTAAAAATGTCTTTGGTTGCTTTTGCAATATGCTTCAGGTCATTGTCCAACTGCACTGTGAAGCATCGTCTAATGAGTTTTGAAGCATTTGGTTGAATCTGAGCAGATAATGGTGCCCCAAACACTTCAGCTTTCATCCTGCTGCTCTTGTCAGCAGTCACATCATCAATAAATACAAGAGAACCAGTTCCACTGGCAGCCATACATGGCCATGACATAACAGTACCTCCACCATGCTTCACTGATGAGGTGGTGTGCTTTGGATCATGAGCAGTTCCTTCCCTTCTTCCTTCTCTTGTCTTCCCATCATTCTGGTAGTTGATCTTTGTTTTATCTGTCCATAGTATGCTGTTCCACAACTGTACAGGCTTTTTAGATGGTTTTTGACAAACTCTAATCTGGCCTTCCATTTTTAAGGCTAACTAATGGTTTGCATCTTGTGATATGTATTTATTCTAGTGAAGTCTTGTCTTGCTTACAAGAGCAGCAGGATGAAAGCTGAAGTTTTTGGAGCTACATTATCTGCTCAGATTCAGTTAAATGCTTCAAAACTCATTGGACGATGCTTCACAGTGCAGATGGACATTGACCTGAAGCATATTGCAAAAGCAACCAAAGACATTTTTAAGGCAAAGAAGTGGAATGTTCTGCAACGGCCAAGTCATATCATCTGACCTGAATCCAATTGAGCATGCGTTTCTCTTGCTGAAGGAAATGCTTGTCATTCCTACACGGTTCATACTACATTTTTGAAAAAAGCCTTAAATGAAAGCTGAGAGTCTGCACTTTAAGCAGGTATTCATTGTTTCATTTAAAACCCATTGTGGTGGTGTACAGAGCCAAAATGATGACAACTGTATCATTGTCCAAATAATTATGGACCTGACTGTATGTATAACTTCTTGTGTGAATGTGATTTATTTATTTATTTTTTTTTTAGAAGGAGGGGGAAAATGCGCTTTCAAAAATACTTCCTTTAGGGAAAATCCATGCCAACATCTCAAAGGTATTTTTAGGATCTTACAATTTCCACTGCTACCGGCACATCTGTGAGTCTGGCAATTTCTAAAAAAAAATCAATAAACAAATAACTCTTCCTATTATGGGATTTAAAAAGCCTTTGAAATTTAAACAGAAACTGCTCCTAAAAAGAATAAAGATTTTGGTAAAGGCAAAAGACAGGCATAACAAATTTACAAAAACAAAAAAAAAAAAAGACCAAAAAAGCGGAACTCTGAGTGCCTGCGGCAGTACTTCCCCAACTAACCTCAGCTCCCTGGCTACAGCTAACCTTTACAACAAGGAGGAGGCTGAAATGGAGGTCAACCATAATCATGCACATCTTAAAAACAACGGCAGGAATTCAGGATGAGATAAATAAAGCTAAAGCATGGCTGAACAACGTAACAAATAGAGAGAAGTGTCTAAAATCAGTTGAGGAAGTTGTGACAGAATTTTTACTTAAATCCCAATTGGAATTGTGACAGATGCATCAAGAAGGTCATCTGGATGGAAAGAATCTGGATTTAGAATATACACAAATACACTTTGTTAAGGACTTGCTGAAAGAAAAAACTCCCCCGCACTGTCAACCTTCGAGACATTTTTTAGGCTCTTAAGCTCTTGAAATAAGATATGTCCATGATGCATTTCCCAACACCCATCTTTATTAAGTAAATAAACATACAGCAAAAATATATAACCATGCATCAGACAGACACATATGTTTGACACTTAGACAGCTGGCCTGTTGTTCCTGGAACAGGGCTGGAGGTAGAAAAGGACAGAACCGCTTCAGCCTCTTCATTCAGGGTCAAAACATTCGATAAATATAACATCAACTGAAACTGGATAAAAAATAGTCATCATAGTGTAATAACAATTGCGTACGTAGTATCTATATCTCTTTTTATACATTAAGTCCACACAAAAATACCATATATCCTCTCAGTCCTTCTGTACATAGGTTAAATTTAATTCCAAACCTTTTCAGCCTTGTAGATACCTATACATTGTACCAAATAAGAATATGATTGTAGACTTTATATGGCCTGTATGATGCTGTTCCATCTTCTTACCATGCCAAGGTTAAAAAGAAGAGATGCCGTTTTTAAACCATTTTAAAAAAGCCAGTTCGCAGATCTGCAGGAATGGGAGAGGTAGAGGCTTGGCCTTCCAGAAAGATCTATACGCTACCACCCAAGGGAAAAGCTAAGTTCCCGCCATTTAGCTTATCCCTTTCACCATTCCTCTCAGATCTATAGAGCTACGCAGGCAGGAAGAAATCCTTCAAGATCTATCATGCCAAAGGGCGCACAGATGTTGGAACGTTGTCGTTTTGTCCCCATCTACTCCGGTAACAGCAGCAGATGGTAGCACGATTGCAAGGCAGCAGGACAAACCTCTCTGGAACTCTTTATTTAACATAAGGCAGGGGCTTATTAGAATTGTTTGAATTCACCAACAGGACAGCATGTCTTTGCCACTTCCTATGGACGCATATATACACTTTATTTTCACAGTGTTTTCTCTAAAATAGCCTAATTGAGCATGCTGGTTTAAAAACAACACACTGACTGTACATTTTTGTCTTTAATCAGTCGTCTCTTGCCACCTTCTCAGTACACTTTTTGTGCATACCTTGCAGAACCGCCGGCTCGCCTGGAGAATGTTCCAATTAATCTCTCCTGAAAACAAGAACATCCAGCACTTTTTGTTTTGGTTTGTGCAACTAGTGCCAACAGTGTTTAAGAGTTTGTCTGCGGGTTGAAATTTGGCTACGTGTGCCAGATTTTTCAGGCAGGGATTAAGCCTCATGGTCTTTAACTAACTCCACTGAAAAATACCCCCAGAACGGACTTAATCCTTTTCCAAGAAACTGGCCGTGTGTGTGTGTGTGTGTGTGTGTGTGTGTGTGTGTGTGTGTGTTAACGTCTGACAGGAAGAACATACGCTGTAACGGTAGTGTATACATACAGTAACAATACAGCAGATAATACAGTATGTACACAGTTGTAAAGGAGACCATTCTGTCCAATGAACAGGATTAAGGCAATTTCACAAGTGTCCTGGTATGAGGGTAACTACTGTTCAGCCTCATTTTAATACAAAAATAAGAAAAATTCCAGTTAAAAATCTTGCAGTTCTGTTTAATCATTTCTACTGAATCTGTACTTTTCAAGGGTTATTTTTCCAACACACAAAATCAGGGATTTTTAATTTCCAATAAACAAGCAGGAAATCTAGCATCATGGAAGGAACTCGCACAATCTAAGGCTCAATCCCAATACACCCCTCGCCCTTACCCCTCCGTTTTGCTGCTCCACATTCATGCGTATGGTGTCCCAATTCTTGCTGGGATAGAGGTGAAGGCTGACCTTCAAACCAGTGGTTCCCAACTGGTGTGTTGTGGTCCAAAAGTGGTTTGGGGGTCCATTCTGAATGGGCCGCAAGTGACTCGCAAACGTGTCAAGTTTGTAAAAAACATGCTTTATTTTGAAGTATAGTGAATTCCCAGCACAGAGCTTTTATTTTGAAGTGCTGTTTCTTGCTGTAGAGTCAGCAACTAATGGACAGCTACTTGACAGGGACAGCAAACTAGCTCGACAACATGGCCAAATGCAAGTATGATACTGAATATATATAACTGGTGGACCTTGAACTAATGACTAAGGACTTTACAATCTGGACCCAGTGGCTGGACCAGTTGGTTCCAACCACATTTCTATGCCTCCCCCCCAGTTGTGCATGACACCAGAAATTTAACTGAAGTCCAGCGACGTGGTTGCTGCTCTTGTTACCGCTTCTCTAATATCACTGTAGACTGGCAGGTAAAGAGCACAGGTTGCTAAAGATCACCGCTACTGATAACTTCTTTGATCAATTGACAATGTGAAACTTAAGATGTGAACAAATCACGATCATCCTGACAGCCCCGAAAAGCTGCCAATAGCCCAGCAAGAGAAATCACCACAGCAGAAGACAGCATATTTGCTGTATTACTTGTCGCATTTGTTTATGTAAATGGCAGCATCGGCGACTACTGATCACGTATCAGGGTCCTGAAGGGTTGTCTCATTTCATAGGGGAAAGTTTCAATCGTTACCCCTAGTAACTGTTCCAAGAAGCAAGGTGGCTCTTGAAAGCAAGGGGAAGGGGTAAAAATGAGAAATGGGATTGGGCCTTAATTGACTTGCTATAAACATTACATCGCAACAGAATAATTTTTAATATCTCTTTTTAATATCTCTTGTTTAGCCAATTTGGTAATAAAACATCCTTTTTAGCAAGGGGCACTTAGAGATAATGTCCCTATGAGAAACAGTTTAGCTGGAAATGAGTTTTCTCATCTTATTTATATGCATTATACAGCATGCATTTTGTTTAAGACAAAATAGAGGATGAATAAATCTTAACAGCTTGCAGTCAGCAGGGTCCACTATACATAATGGATAACCTTCCTTCTCCTAAACATGTGTAATTAAGTCACCCATTGTACACGCCTTTTCCCATTATCTATACTGTATATAGTAGAGCAGGAATTAATGGTCTCTTGCTGGTTTTACTAACAGTACTGAACACCAAAAAAAGAGAGCAAGTAGCACATAACGTTCATGTAGCCGGGTGGAACTCGGTTTATCCCGATGGCTCTAATTATCATCAGTGTAATTGAAACAAAAACTTAGTGAAGAGCTGGTCTCAGGTAGCTACACCGTATCATGACATACAATAGAAAAAGTGTTGCAGACTGCTCGAAACGTGCCTTGGCTAAGAGATACATAAAACAACAACATGTTAATACCCCATCACACCAAGTATGTGTTTGCTGCAGGGAACTTTTGAGACATACAGTACAGTACAGTTAAGTTAGGAATCATCATCATCATCATCATCATCATCATCATCATCATCATGCATAAAATGAAAAGCTCCCTTTCCCCCGCTCAGTTCAGCAGTGTGCCGTATAGCTGTGCCTTGGTCAGACTGTCCTTTCTTGTCAGTCCCGTGCTGCCAAATTTTTGGTATCTTGGAGAGGTCTTCTTTGGGAGTGCGGGGCCGACACTGAGAGCGGAGCTGGAGCTTGGGCGAGGCCGGACGCTCGGCCTGGGGCTGGGGTAGTGTTGAAGACTTGAGGCTTCGAGGGAGCTTTGGTGTAAGGACTCAGCCGAGCTGTCTGCACTCAGATTCACATAGTCCTTCTTGACGCTGCTCGCCGCTGTTGCTCCCCCACTGCTTTCCTTCTCTTTAGAGCTCCCTGAGAGGAACAAACTGCACTCGGAGTCCTGACTGTCCTCCTTGGCTCTGTACAGCACAGAAGTTTTCTCCTGCTTACGATGCTCATTCGGCTTCTGGCTGCGGCTGGGCGAAGGAGGACCAACAGCAAAACACTGGTCCAGCACGCGGCTGTGGAAGACGCCATCTCCTTCTTGGAAGCTGCTGTAGAGAGACCCCTTGACCTTATTGGAGGGGCCCATGGCAAAGTGGCGCTCAGAGAAACTGTATGGAGAGACACGCCCTGGGATGTTACGATAGGAAGATGAGAATGTGTTGATGTCTTCCACGCTGAGCTGTCTCCAGCGGCTGCTTAGGTCGTCCTCAGGGACCTGGATGTCACCGCGGCTGTCCAGACCTCCTCCACGAGCCTGGCCCAGCCCTGTTGTGGACCCCATGCTGTGAGAGGAAGCCAGGCGTGGGGTGCTAGAATGGTATGGTTCACTGAAGCATGAAGCCGTCCTTGTGTACGATGGTGAGGTGCCCTTCTGTGGGCTCTTGGGGGTCACCATGTGCTGGATGCTAAGGGACTTGGGGAAGCTTGGGCTGTCTTTATCATAAGAGGACATGCTTTTGCGCTCATAGTCCCCACTGCCACCATCTCGCCAGTCCATGTAGAGACCCTGATGGGAAGAGGATAAGGTGCTGCTGGCAGTGCGTCCACAACCACCACCAACTCCTCCCTTCTCGTCCGATGCGAGACTGAAGCTAGAGTAGGAACTGGAGGCAGGGAGGCTACCAGTGCCGAAGTCATCGTGGTGGTGAAAGGAGGATGGAGGCTCATGGTGGGAGAAACTTCCAGAGTGGTAGGCTTCTTCCTCTGGGTTGCTGTCGGTGGAGTTTTGAGCGTGAAGCTGCAGCAGGCCGGTGCCTTGGAGGTCAACGCTCTGCCTGCGCTCTGTATCCTGCCATCGTTCAGGGCAGTAGAGAGCCGTATCACTACAGTAGAGGTCAGATGATTTATAAGAAATACGGCGGCTCAGGTGATCAGTGCTTCCTGTTCCTGTGAGAAAGTCTCCATCCTGTGGCTGCGGGCTGGGTGAGCGCGTTACAGGGCAACTGCTTCCTGGTTCTGGCTTTTCCAGGACCTTGGCAATTATGGCTGTGGGTACGGCATCAGAGTAATTGGAGTGGCACATTGCTATTGTGGCTCCACTATCCCGATTCTGTTTCTCAATGTGGGAACTGATGCGCTCCTGGAAATCCACCGGCAGCTAAGACAAGAAAGACAGACATGCAAAGAGACAAAAGAACCTTGATGAAGATGGGATACTAAAACAAAAGTCTGCTCTTTTGCTTTGTGAAAGCTGCTGAGCTGGTTTTCAGATTCAGCAAGAAAAGATATCTGAAAAATTAAGAATTCCTCAACAGTCTTTTCTTAATTATTTATACAATCAACTTGAAACTCTTCCTCAGAGATATTCCATGCTTTCTGTGTCTGCAGTGAAGATATTTTTAGAGCCATTCCTCAAGGATTTTAATCTATAGTTCTAGTTTAGAAAGTAATTAATTCTCGCAAAGCTCACAGAGTCCTGACCAGTTTGTGTATCTCTGGGGAATTGCACTACTTGGCCCTTCTAATGAACTTGTCAGAAAATTGCTGAACACAAGCTTTGTTTATTTATTTGTTTGCTTTCCTTTTCTCCTAACATAGTCCTGTTTTTCTTTTCTTACCCCAACTTTGTTACTCCACAAAGATAAGTTAATGGGAACATTAAAAAAAGGAAGATTTTTTTTTTGGACAGGCATAAATATTTTTGTCTTTCTAAATGACTCCCTGTCCTTCTCTGTCCCATCTGTTTCTCTGTTTCTCTGTCTCTCTTTCTCTCGTACTGTCTAACTCTCTCACACTCAGACAGACATAATCTGTTTGATTGGCTCACGTTTGAAAAAACTGCATCTGTCAATTACAGACTGGTTTCTTTGTGCCTATTAAAGCTGGTCAGGGTCAGTAAGAACTGTTCCTGCCACACTGAGTTCTCTCTTTCCTCCTCCCTTTCTTTATCCTTTCATCTTTCTCCTCTTGCTCCACTGCCTTCACAACCAAAAGACCCTCATTCTCTCTCTCTTTTTCTCTGTCTTTCTTCTGTCTACCATCAAACACATATCAGTTCCACAGGGAACGGCTTAGATTCAAATTAAACCAGTGCTCCGGGTCTCCAGCTGGGAATAGAAAAAAAAAAAGATAAAATACTGACTTGGCTTTGTTAAGAAATAGAAGCTCGCCTCGGCATAAAATAACCTGCATCTTTTAAGTTGGAGCTATTTTTAGCAGCCACTGCCTCCCAGAGGGAATAGAGATGGAAAGTAGGTGAGGCTGTGGGGGGGAGCACAAAATGATATACAGTGTGTGCTCCAAGTGAGCTAGCTCAGCATTAGCTGCTATCTGAGGCAAATCTTAATTAACAGTCACACAGTGTTAATCCACGTGACAGCATCCACGTCTACAGGTCTTGTTCCATTTATTGAAATAAGTGGTTTAATGGCGTCGGATAGAAGTGGCACTTGTTATTTTAGTCATTCTAGCAATTCACAGCCACTCTGTGAAAGCTGCTTCCTCAGAACACTCCACGTTCAGAAGAGGTTTTACATTTCCGTGTTTTATGACCAAATTATCTTATTGAAAGTCAGACTATGTGACTCAATATAGTAGAAAAAGGAATTTTTTTCTCTTACAAATGAAAAGTTTAATGTGTTAGCAGCAAAGCGCACCCTTTCTCAACTGACCGTTTGTCGAACTTCTTGCCTTAATTGCTGCTCCTGTTGCTTGTTAGACGTTTTCACATAGTAAATATGCGCACTAGAGCTGAGCTGAAATACCAGTTATCTGGTACAGATAATGTACTTTATGAGCATGAATATCATGCGAGTAAAATGTGTCTGTATCCTTAATCATGATGAAGGAAAATCCTCATCTGGTAGCTAAATGGTTCTCTTACTCTTGTGATCTAAAACGTTCTTAAGCTCAGTTCTAAGGCTGATCTGTAAATATTTTTCTAATAAACATACACAACTTTAGAACAACCCATATACATTTCAGGGTTAACATAACTTCTGGTGAAGTTCCACCCATTGCAAGTACGAATATTTAGTTGGAACACATATAGTACTCGCTCATCCCTACAGTTGACCACCATAATAATGTCAGATTTACCACTCCAAAAGTTTCCAGTAATTTTTCAAAAACGGGTCTTTAATTTTATGCATAAGTAAATAAAGTGGCTCACATTTCTAGCCTACAACTGATTTTGTTGACTGAGAAGACAACTGCCACTGGCAAATTTTATCAGGGGTAGCTAGCTAGTACAAGGTAATGGTCATGCTAAAACTCCATTGCTGTGTCTCAAACCACATACTTCTGTACTTACACCTAATATTTTGAGTGCATGAGTGCGTTCACACTGAGAAATACGGAAAAATGCAGTGCACTAGGAGTACCCGGATGGTGCTCTCAAAACGGTCAAGAAGTTGAGTCTGGAATGATGGACACTTCTTGCCCTCAATGGTCGCCATCTTGGCTACGTAGCGGAAGGGGAGGGACCACTTTTCAAACTGGAAATAGTGGCCGAGGACTATGTGACTGTGAACGTCGCTGCATTGTACAAATACATGTATCTTTTGCACTAAGCATCACTATACTGTTGTTGGGTATAAGCCAGCAGTTTGTTTATTGGGTTAATTTAGCAGTCTGTAATGATTTGATACCGCGAACGATAACGCGAATGCTAATGCTACTTTGCTAACTAGCTAATTTGCGGTCGTCATTTCCGGTGAGTGCACAACGGCTGTGTTTGGTTTGAGACAACACTACCCTGTCGAAATTCACACACTACGCCAGTGAGTACATAGTGCACATAGTATACTACATAGAAGAGTACTCACGGAAGTATGTGATTCGAGACACACCACATGACTTGTTGAAAATTGCCTCCAGCAGACTGATGAATGTTTCTAGGTAACTTTGTTTTACAACCAAAAACCTTTAAAAATGTCTTAAATATGCACATAAAAGACTGAAGTTTAACTACATGTCCCAGTCAGTAAATAAACATCCTCATCCTCATTTGTCAATGATCGATAGAAGACATGAAATAAAAGAGCAGCATTGGTGGTGTATTGCAGGCCATGGATAGATAAAGGGAACTGGATATAGCGTTCAAGGCAGGGCCCCTCTCATTCCTATGAAAATTTCTCATTGGTGCATAAAGCCAAAACATTTGATTTACTAGGTATGAAATTACCCTAATTGGACTGACATAATTGGACCCATAGACCAAGCACACTGCAGACTTTGGCAGGCCGGGTGTTTACCTTATACCGGCCAAGCAGCCAACAGTTTAGCGCTCTGCTAACTTGAATGGGGATAAAATGATTTTGTTGATTGTGCAGCTTTTCTAGATTTTAGAAATTTCATCGGACTGATTGGATGAAATAAAACATTGATTTGCAGGTGTCTCTTTGACAAAAAAAAGTCTTTTGGGGCCTAACGACATCATGTGACAGCCCCGCAAGTTGTAATTCCACAGTTGTCCTGAAGGGGGAAATTAGCTATAGAGAAAAAAATGGCACTGCAGACAGATAGCCAGTATCGGCATGTATCTTACGCCTGCTCCAGACAGGCCAGATAATGTTACGGCTTTGTTTCTACCATATGTGTAGAAACAAAGGCTCTTCATTCCATGCTACCTTTTTGCTACAATGCCTTCTATAGGACATACCACATTGGAAGAGCCTAACTGTTGCGCCCTACAGTCTATGTATAGGCCTGCCTTTTCTTAAACTACTTAAATATAGTCATGGAAATGGGGTAGAATATTACTGAAGTGTTTAGAAAGTTCATTGACAAAATTGTGTGGGAACCTTGTATTTGTTATTCTTTGATAGCCTTGAGTATATCCAGTCTAAACTGGAATCAGCCTTTTAAAATGCTCACCATGACAAAATTACAAATAAATTAAGAATGTTAACTCTCCCCGATGTGCCAAAACCCCTGAATACCCATAATAAATACAGAGGATATGACCTCAGTGTCCTCTACGCCAGCTACAGCCTGTAATCAAGCTGCTCAGTTTAGACCATTTTCAGCCCTCTGTTATTGTGGAGGAAGTAAAACACTAATAATTTTATCTAGTCTTATTTAGAATGTAATTTAACCAAATATAACATCTTTACAGTTCATTTTCTAAATGGTTTAATCTTAGATTTAAAGACAACAAAACTTTCAGTAAATAAATTTGAATGGACACATTGATGCAGTTGTAGCAGCAGTGTTGGGGAGCTCACCTCAGACATCTTGTGAGCTCTGTAGTGAGACTTGGAGCACTGCAGCAGCTGGGCTGCCAGGTTGCAGTCTTTCCTGTACAGGTCCTGCAAGAGGCAGAAAGATTATCCTCAATCTCTAAATTCAGGCATTTAAAAAATCTTGTTCATTTTGGCAGCCTGATGGTTCAAGTAAGTGTTTGACCGAAGGGGATTGTGTTCGAACACCCGCTGGGAAAAAGCACTTTAGATCACAGCCTTCTAATTATGGTTTAATTATTTCGTAATTATGGGGGACTTCTTGGGGGAAAATTTCAGGATACAGTAATGTCATGTTAGCCTGGTACTATAGCAACAACAACTCTAAAAATAAAATGTATCAATTTACTATTAATGAAGTATTTATAAATTAATTATGGGTCATGGGGAAACAAAACAAGATGCCCAGCATGACTGGATTTTTAATAATTAGGAATGGATAGTGTAGCATCAATATGTAGTGCACACACTGAGCTGTATTTCATTGAAAAATTGGGATAAGTAGCCTACTGGATTAGGCAATTCTTTGATTTAGTGAACTGTCAAATCAAAGGAGCAAATTCATCCATCGACGCTGGTGCAGTTTAATTAGTTAGCGTGTATTTTTCACCTTGGCTATATTACTTCACTAGGTTGACATCAAGGGATTGCAGGATCTTAATAATACTACTGAACTTATTAATTTGTAATATATGTGGGTTCGCTAATTTTATTATGCATTCACTTATCGGCGTGCTCCAGCCTTGGGAAGCTCATGCAGCATTATTTTTCTCTTTCTCTGTACTTTCCCTCTATAATGGATGGGTTTTAGGGTTTTACTTAAATTTCAGAGCAGAGCACGGGTGATCTATTGGCACAGCAGATGCTCAGCCGAATTGTTTTCTGTTTCTGAATGCATGAGTGTGGGTGGGTGGTTAGTCGGTTTAGTTCACTTTCTTCTTCTCTCCCTCCTCTGTGAAATCCATCCTCTTATAAAGGTCAGTCCCTGCTGCACAGTAGCCTCCCTGTGCCTCTGTCACACCACAGTCCTACAATACTTCCCATAACATCAAAGCCTTCTCTTTGACAGTTTCAACTCCCCCACCAGTTAACAGCGACTGCTGTTTGAATCACTTTATTTCTTTTCTTTTCGTCACCAGGGGACATGTGGGCTCCCTGCAGTTTCTGTGGACATGTCAAATAAACCTTTGAGACCTTGGTGATGTCTTAGTTAATGTGAGTTATGTGGCGGGTTTCTGCCGGGAATGTCAGCCACCAGCTGCTGGCGAGACAGTTTTTGTGAGGTTAATGATGATGAGGTCTTAACATACTGTATGTATTTCAAATGATTATGTGAGTAGAGTAATGACAGTTTCTTGTGGCTTTATAGACGCTGTATTCATGCAGGCTGATAGCCAGTAATAAGCATGGACGGAGTATGAAATATTGGGCCCAGGGGCACAGACATGTAGAGGACCCCCCATGCCTCCTACATACATGGTTCCTACGCAGTATGGGAAAGTATCGAATTTAATTTTAGTCATTACCAGGTCTGGATGAGTATAGAAAAAAGAAAAGAGAGTACAGGAAAAGATTCCTTTTGCCCCTTTACCGCTTTATAAAATATAGAATTCAGAGTGTTTGTCATGCCGTTTGGAGCAGGCAGCCAGCAGAGCCAAGATGTTGACCACTGTGTGTGAGAGCGTGGGCCAGAGCTAGCTTGATGTCGTCAAAAGCAGGGTAAGAAGTCCCAAGTGTCTTACGAATTTACCAAATCTGGACAGTTCCGACATACACATAGCACTACAAATAACCAAATATTATCTTTGCCTGAACATTTTTGAATTATGTGGTGATGTAGTTATCAGAAAATTAAGTTTCTGCGTAAGGAAACCTTTTTGGCTGTGTTCATTGTCGTTTACATGGACATGGTGAATAAACAAGGCTGCATTAGATGCTGTGAAATTTAGCTATTTAACTTTTTGTAACTAATTTTTGCTTCTAATTTATGAAAGAGACTAAAAAATATGGCGAGAACAATAATATGACATTATTTATTCAATATGTGAACAGATAAAAATACCCATATTATTATCCACATTATTCCTAGCCCTCATGATACCTTGTGTGAATTATCAGGTTCAAGTTCTGGCGCTGAACCGGAACCAATGTTTTCCATTTGTAACGGTACCATGAATGGTATGCTAATCCTCTTTCCTAGGTGATTGGTAAATACAGTAGCACCCCAGGAACAGGGTGGATAGGTAGCACTGGTTAGTTTACTTGCTGGCTGGAGATGTTTCCTGTTTGTAGTCCTTTTGTCTGTATTCTCTTTACCTCTCTTCGTGGTCATTTTGTGCGTCCTTTATGCCATTTTGCATCTTTATGAGGCCGTTTTGTATTCCTCTGTGGTCATTCTCTGTCTTTGTCATTTGTGTTTCTGTTTTGTTGTTTTGTGTCACAGTCTAGTCTTCTTTTGCATCTATTGTAGTCATCTGATTGACTTTCCAACAATATATGTCAGCAGTTACTTCAAACACGCTCTGGCCCTTGGGTCTCTATGTCTGCACCTGGCAGGCCCTGGTAGATTTTATGTTTTTTATCACTTAGGAGTAAAACAAATTTAATACACTTCACTCAAAGTGATGCATTTGTTTTTCCCGTCAGGTCTCATGTCACACCTGAAAGGTCACTCAGTGTATCCCATGATATAAGAAGTAAATTCAAAGCTGGCTCTCTGGAGGAAATGCCCGTCTCGCTGCTGGCTCTGATGGGACAAATTCTCCTTCCACTCTAAATGAACCTTGACTCCAATCAGCCCGGCGAGATCTGGAGGGATTGTCAAAATACTCTATAGCTCAGAAGTGCTAAAAACTGCCATAGACCAAAGAGAGAAAATCTAACCTAACCTGCAGCCCCCAGTAGAAAATGCCAGTAAAATCACTTCAAAGAAAGTGAGGCACCAGATTGCCACATGCCCCTGAGCTCAGATCCACGCAGCCCCAGCTCCAAATTCGAGCAGCCCTGAGGATGCCCATTGATTTCAGTATAATCACTATAAAACACCCAGTGGCTTAGAGTTAATTCCTCTATCTGCTGTGGCTCCTTGAAGCACAAATATCCAGGATGTTGCAGAAATACAGTGAATATGAGACTTTTAGCAATAGTGGGCTCACGGAGACGGCTGCCAGTGTGACAGGAGAAAGTATTCCCATCAGGAAAAACAGCTTTTTGAAAAGTTGAAGATGTGCTAAGAAGGCTGGATTACTGACCAGGCAAGGACAGCAACTGCCCCAGGGCCCCAGATCTCTGTGGTCCTTAATGCCCCAGGCTGCTGCTTAATATTTTGGCTTGAAGGGGAAGTATAATTCGGGCATGTTCTTTGCTAATGTCTCATCAGACGAGAAAGTTCAGATTTTGTACAAGTAAGTTTACACACACACAATGTGTCCCATATTAGATGATGCAGCTCTGGGTACTCACGTTGTCCTCTCTGAGTTTATTGATGGTGATCTTCGCCTCCATGAGGTGGTTGTTGAGGAGGATAATTTCCCGGCTGAGGGCTCTCTTTTCCTCTTCATGGTGCTGGGACTGTAGCGTAACAGAAAGAATCGACAAGGGAGAAGAGAAATTGGAAAAGGAAAAGAAGACAACGGATGTTAGAGGCAGACCGAGTAGATGATAAGAAGGGGGGCAGGAAGTAAAAGGTTAGAGGAAAGAGTTGAGTGTTAAGATAACGAGAGAAAGATGAGGAAGCCAAAGTTGGAGGAGCAACAGAGGAAAAATAAGATGATAGAAGAGGGGAAGAAAAATGAGAGGGAGAGAGCCGTAAGTCACTATCTGTCTGAAGCCGGTGCCAGCAGCAGGTCTTAATTAAAAGAAGATTACACTTGCCAGCGCTCATATCATATCAATTACTCTGGGAGAAAGAGAAATAGAGGGGGGGAGAAAAAGGAGAGAGGAAAAATAAAGAGGGAGAGAGTGAGAAAGACAAATGAAACACTCCTTCCATTTTCAGTGATTACTGTCAAAGAAATGCAAAATGACTCTTGGAGTGACATTTTAGCCTCGGTAACAGTGGGGCCTAATGATGGTGATGTCTGCCGGTTGGCTGGTCTGTCTCTCTGTCTGCCCACTCTAATCTCAACAACTGTTGGTCACATTGTTCTGCAATTTGGCACAGACATTCATGGTGCCCCGAGGATTGGTCCTAATGATTCTGGTGGCCCAGGCCTTTCGTCTAGCATCCTCAGGCTAGCATTTCTACTTGTAAACATAAAACTAATAAGACAGATTGATTGAGTTGATTTTTCTGCGCACAGCCTTGCTCATCAGAGGACGAACCTTTTCCATTTTTGAATCCTCTAGTGCCAATGTAAGGTAAAAAAGCCAACTTTACGAGCAAGATATCTTATAATATATATAGTGTCATGGAATCAGCTGAGAATATTCATGCTCCCAAGTGGATAAACCCTTTTAGCTTTAATGACACTGGCTTTACTCCAAAGTATTTCATCACATCATCAAATGTATTCTTCTATTAACAGAATTTAACCATATTTATGACCAATCAATAGCTCAAAAACACTGACATGAAAAGACAACAGTTATTTTCAATAATCAAATCCCACCGAAATGTGTCCATTTTAAACATTTAGGGTTCTTTCAGACCTAGAGTTGTCTTGCTTTGGTCTGAATCAGGGTCTAATTTTGTTACACAGTTGAATAATTGCCTAGAGTTAGTTCATGTTTTCACAGCAGCATTTAGAAGCGGACCAGATCAAATGCCTTGCACAAGAAAACTGCTCTTGATTGGTCAGAATTTCCAACAACAAAACAAAATGTTGAAGAAGAGTACACTTGCAGGATAAATGTGACACTTTCTAATGTCACAATGGAGGGACAACTACGCAGGTTGATTTTAGCGCTGGTCATTGTGGACTATATTGCTGTCATTGTTCATTTTAGTCAAACCATACAGTTTGAAAACGAGGCGCGGCTCCAACTAGAAAACAATGTTTTGATGCATTGGATGTGCTGAATGTGCATATTAAGGCAGTACAGGAGGAGGTGCACATTAATAATCCTCCAGGACTGTAACATGCTCATGTTTAACCCAAACAATGTGTCATGTGACTGAAGTTGGTACAGATCGAGGTCGGAACACGTTCTCACCACAAACAAGTCACACTTTTTTAACTGGACCGAGACCACCTCTTCAAGAGGGTCTCGGTCTGGTTGTTTTGGTGCGCACTGGAGTTGGATTGCTGTTTTCACACCTGCCCAAACAAACCACACGTAGGGGGCAAACAAACTTAAGTTTGATTGAACCAAACCAAACAGGGCAGGTGTGAAAGCACCCTTAAATAACAGCACACAAAACATCAGCTACCCTCATTCGTCACACGTCCCTCGCCTTGTAGTGGTCCATTGAGAGGCTCCCTAACAGTTTGTAGCGAATTAGAAAGTAAGAGTGTGAAGGTCAGGGTTATGAGTTGCCATGCACAAATATTGTAGCAAGAAGTTGTAAAACACTGGAATTGGACTTAAACATCAATGAACGTAACATAGCGTTTTTCAAAAATAATGAAATATAATGTTCTTGTCTGGTGATAGGGCTAGCTAGTTAGAACTTGTACCCTTTTCCGCCAAAATTAGCATGTATACACAGGTTTTTTTAAACGTGAAAACCTGCTAATAATAGGCGATAGACTCCTCTCCCATTGCTAGTAAACCAGAGCCATGTACAAATATGCCTTTCTATATTTTTTTTTTTCTAGTGCGTCGCATTCAACATCACAGATGGGCCAGAAAACAGGTTAGTAAACTGTAGCAAGCAGCATGGAGACCAGTGAAAATGTTACGGTGGTTACTTCTTTTTAAAGCTATTACTAATTCAGTTCCTCTCTTTAACTCTATGTCAACTTAAATTTCAACACAGAGGAGGGAGAGAAAAATAAAGTGTAATGTTCGAGTGCTGCTTGGACAGAGACAGATGGTATTTTGTGGCAATGCATCATTGAATCAAATAAGCACATATGCAAGTTGGAACAGTGATAAATACCCCTGACTACTGCAGAGGCATTTGTCCTGATAATGAATGCTGATTTTAACCATTCCCATTGAATACAAACGCTAAAAGTTAGTGGGTTTTATGTCCAGTGGGGAAGGGGCTTTGGTGATATGGGTAAAAATAATATTGCAGTAATTATGACAGCATTATCTCAGTATCACAATGTTGTGTCTTGTGTCCTTTTTGCATCTAAGTAGAACAAATCCTTTAATTTTTAAATATGTGTTCTTATGTACTTAAGCTTTTATGCTGGTAGAGATTTTCTTGCAATTTATTCTTTCAACGTATCGAAAGCTTTGGCTTAATCTGAGTTGCTGTCAATCATCAGTTGGTTAATAGTCAAACCAACATCTATATTGTGAGCTGCAGTCAATATTAAAGCCTCCAGGGGCCAGTAGTGGGTCCTGTTGGCTAAAAACGATAGGGTTTTATTTCTTTTATTCTCTCCCTGTCTCTCTCTCTCTCTCTCTCTCTCTCTCACACGCACACACACACACACACACACACACACACACTAATAATTGTGGAAACTGCCATACAGCACCACCTGACAAATGATACAGCTCTGAGCACTGGCTTGCCCTCCCACCCTTCTCTCTTCTAATCTCTCAATGGCGGTGATTGTTTTGAAATACAGGGGTGCAGAGCCATTCTAATAGGTGGCAATTAATGTCAGTTTAAGCAATAGGCCAGCATTGATATTCAAATCCAATTCTGTTAGGATCTCATTAATCAGCTGTCAAGACATGCAGCTGCCTGGCACTCTTTCTCCAGCTCATTACTCTGGATTTCTATTCATATTTTCTGATGCTGACTATGCAGATGACCACATTAGGGCACTTTAAAGCTCAGATATATAATTGCTCCCTGTTCAGTCTTTGTTAAAATGATGTTTTATTGGATCAAAGACAACTTCTTAAACAGATCATAAAGGGACAGTTCATGCCCAAGTAAAAAAGGCTTGATTTTCCTCCTACCTGTAGTGCTGTTTGTCAATCTAGATTGTTTTGGCGTGAGATGTTGAGTGTTGGAGTTTATCTCCTAAGTACAAGATGTTATCTTCTATATACAATTACATACACGTTATCTCCTTCATTGGAGATAATATCTCAAATAAGGCATCAAGTAAACTGTAAAACATAATTGAACTGTGCATTGGTGCTGGTGAGATTTTATGTTATATGCGCAAGAATTGCCTGCCCACAATGACAAGGTTCCTACGTGCGCACATACATGCATGATATCTATACAACACCACCATAAAACTCTGGTTAGCCCAGCCGCCAAGCTGTAAACCACTGCAGACCACTGTTTGAGACCAACAAACAACAAAACTGATGTTTTTGATGGTGCTTTCACACCTGCCCTGTTTGGTTCTGTTCAATTGAACACAAGATCGTTTGCCCCTAAGAACGGTTCGTTAGGGCAGGTGTGAACACAGCAATTACACTTGGCTGCACACCAAACAACTGGACCAAGACCTTCTTGAAGAGGTGGTCTGGTTACAAATGAACTCTGGTGCGATTCGTTTGTGGTGAGAACGTGTTCCGACCTCGATCAGAACCAACTGCAGTCACATGACACATTGTTTGGGTTAAACATGAGCATGTTACAGTCCTGGAGGATTATTAATGTGCACCTCCTCCTGTACTGCCTTAATATGCACATTCAGCACATCCAGTGCATCAAAACATTGTTTCCTAGTTGGAGCCGTGCCTCGTTTTCAAACTGTATGGTTTGACTAAAATGAACAATGACAGCAATATAGTCCAGGATGACCAGCGCTAAAATCAACCTGCGTAGCTGTCCCTCTATTGTGACATTAGAAAGTGTCACATTTATCTTGCAAGTGTACTCTTCTTCAATGTTTTGTTTACTTCCTGGATTTTTCCCACATGGAAATTCTGACCAATCAAGAACAGCTTTCTCACACAAGGCATTTGATCTGGTCCACTTGTAAATGCTGCCGTGAGAACATGAACCAACTCTAGGCAATAATACAACTTTGGAACAAAATGAGTCCCTGATTCAGACCAAAAAAAGCAAGACAACTCTAGGTCTGAAAGCACCCTAAGAGACTCATCCCTGTGTTTCCAGCGGCTTAAAGGTAGAGAATACAGCAAGCAGAGTGCTATGTAGCTCCATTATATTCAAGAGAAGGCAGACATCTTTACAGCTGATATCTCCAACACTCCGCAACTCACACCCGAGATTGATAAGTAGCACTACAAGTAAGTTTTGGGGTGAACTGTCCCTTTAATATACATAGCTTTGTAGTAGTATACACTGGTTACAAGCCTTAAAAATACAAGAGTGAGATAAAAGAAAAGCACCTATATTTAGGTATCATTTGTCATAAAAGCAACATTGGACATCAATATTATAAAGATAACGAACACAGACACCCACAGACGTGTTTTGATTCACCTTTGATATCTGAATCTTCTAATCTCTAAAATCTCTGTTGTAAGAAATGCATTTCAAACTTGGAGTGATGTGTGTTGCACTGCCAGCTACA